GTTATCTGCAAGTAAATCCCCAGAAGGCAACCTGCATGGCTAGAAACCTGCCATTTAGAGGCATAAACTATGTCCCCCTCCCCCCCCAAATTCTGCTCAGAGAAGCTGATGTACCCAAGCCCGTGCACAAAGTACTGGTATAACGTAGGCCTGGACCTGGTCTCCTAAGTCCCAGGCTAGTGCCCTAATCACTTGTACCAGCCTATATTCACAGAAGTGAGATCCAGCTGCCTTTGGAAGGCCAAAGAATGGCTAGATGTTCTCTGACAAAGCAGATTTTTTGAATCTGTTGGAGCCCAAACCCTAAAAGAGCCCCTGGGTCCGAACCAGTGACAAGACGTGTGTGGCACTTTCCAGGGTCCAAGGTCTTTCCCCAATTATTCTTCAGCTGCTCTGTGTTGACTTTACAGCAATGAGTCTCAGCCAGAGCACTGTGGCACCCTGAGGTGCCTTGAGATCCTTTCAAGGGTACTGCAGGGTGCTATATAAGGTTAGCACTGCTAGGTGTGCAAACATCTATACTGTTAAAACCATCCTGCCCTTAATGAGACCATAAGATCCCCTGACAGTTAGGGTCAGCATTGATATTTTATGGGGGAGAAACAGGCACAGAGAAGCAGTAACGCTGCAGCTTTGCTCTTTAAATGAGTGTGCCTTTATTTTAAATCCCACCTGTCTTCCAGATTTCTTGGTTGGAGTTGTGGGCTTTCTGAATTCCTTGGAACAGAAATACTGCTCTTTTTTGTAGTAAAAAAACAAGTAAAAACTGAGGCCTGGCATTTTTCTTAGGGGTGCCTGGTGCCTAAAAAGGGTGAGAACTACTGCTTTGCGGCAAGTTCTGGCCAACTGAAGCATAAAGCGTGACCGCTAGTGGCCAATTAGAAAACTGCAAGTTTATGACTGTTTTTTAAAGGGCTGCACATTACATAGAACCCAAGTAAACCAGCAATGCAAACCTGGCCCCAGCGCTCTGTCCTGCCCAGGCAGGGGGTCGGACTCAATCTGTTGAGGTCCCTTCTGACCCTAACATCTATGAATCTATGAACCTTGTGCTTGTTTTAAATGCTTCATGCTTGGGAGTCTATGACAAGGCTGCAATGAGGACAAGTCTGAGATGCTTTGGGTGTTTCAGTTCCTGGCTGGTGCAAAGACCAAGAGAAGGCTTAATCTTGGGGTTTGTTTAACTCCTATGGTAATATTTAGCACTTTTCCAGTAATCCTGCTCTGTACATCACAAAAGCACTAACAGAAATGGGTCATTATCATGATCCCATACTGCAGATAGGGAAACTGAGGCAAGAGGGGAAAAGGGACTTGCCAAAGGTCACAAAACAGGTCGGTGTCAGAAAGAGAGCCTCACAACTCTCAGTCCAGTGCCCTGCCTCTGAGCCATGCTGCCTCCAAAGTATGGAAGTAGCCCACAAAAAGTGCCTCAATACGGTCCAATGGAGCAAAGCTAGGACGAGGCATGAGAAGACCTGGGTTCTCTTCTTCGCTCTGCCTCTGACTATGATCTAGACCACATTTTTTCCTGTCCCCAGGCCTCAGCTTCCACCCCCCTGAAATTCTGCAAATGGGAGCCTTGGGTATTTGCAATGTCTCAGGGAAAATCCCTCGCTGTTATAGTTGCTTACCACTGCTTTGTTCTGAGCAACATTTTATGTTTGCGTGATTCTTTCCTGCTTATGAAAGGCTTTTTTAAAAGATGTTTTTGGGGTGGGAGAGCATAACTGCCTCTTTTCTGCATTGTCCTCAATACCAAGTTCCTCTTTGCTGACCTACCAGCGCTGCTGGACCCAGTTCTGATCTCACGTCAGCTTTAACTCCAGCTTAGATTCACTGATGGAGATGCGCCTGTTTTAATTCAGGGTGAGGGCAAAGAGAATTAACCCCAGGAGTGAAGATCATATTAAAAGAGATCTCCTGCTTGGCCAATTTCCATCCAAGAAATCTGGAAGACAGATGGGATTTAAAATAAAGGCACACTTGTTTAAGGAGCACAGCTGCAGTGTTACTGCTTCACCATGCCTTAGTCTCTCCCCCATAAAATGTCCACACTGACCCTTGAGTGCCTTAGGATCTCATTAGGGTGGGTACAAAGCTTTGAGCTCCTTGAAGGGGCCAAAGGTCTTGCTTTAGTAGCAGCTTTGTGACATTCATGGAAATATAAGTAAAACCCACTGACCTTCTGGTAAATGGACTTTCTTGTTTCTTGCTTCTTGACATCACCTAGAAACACAGTGAAAGGAGATCAGAGGTGGGACAGGCCTGCAGTTACAATGGAAGAGCATCAGGGGACTGGCTTTGGGGCAGCTGCATTGCTCCTAGAGCAGGAATGATCAGAGCTCTGTGAGCCCTTCCTCCAAACTCTCCACAAACTCAAGCTCCTCCTAGCACCAGACATGGGTCCTAGGGCTCAGGAGTTCACCGTGATGCCGGAAAGAGTTTGGCAGCTTCTCTGAGCCGTGTGAATGAGCCGGGCTGGCTGCTTCATGAGCTTCCTTGCATTTCTGCTTTCAGCCAGGCCGGAAGTCTCCTGTAAGCTGACTCTGCAAGGCCTCCAGACCCCCCTCTTTCTGAGCACTCCTCTTCCACCTGCTTAGCTCTTACCCGGAATGAGAGCGTCCTTGGACTGCAGCGACTGAGTGAGTCGAGAGTAGTGTGGGAAGCAACAGAGGAGTCTTCAGGTTCTTGCGAGGCAGGGACGGATCTTGCTGTTTCCGGAGACCTTAGGGGATTCCTTGCAGTATCCTAGGAAAAAAAACCCACACACCTGACATACAAGTCAAGAAAAGGCAGAGAGGTGTCAGTCCCAGTGACCCAGGCTACAAGAGCAAAGCAACAATAAATGGAGCTTATGAAAACCATAGGAAGCGCCTAACTGTGCAGGCCTGCATAGGGCAAACCCCAAACTCTGTACTTGAGGGTGAGGCACCATCCTACTCTCCTTCCAGTTCTGGAGAGCAGCAGAAAGAGCTAGGGAAAGAAGAGAGGGAAGCGATGTATATGCACTCTCTCACACACAAAACCCCACACCCCTTACCCTTTCCTTTGCCTGAGTGCAGTACCATAAGCCATGAGTTCAGATATAACAACTTAGGTCCTCCCAAAAACATAAGACTATAAAAACTCATTTGGGGTTCCTTCCTTTTTGGCCTTCTGGAATCAAAGCCTCTGGGCCATGCTTTCAACTTTTTTTTGTTGTTGTTGCTTCAACCACAAAGGCCAGAAGCCAGCCCCTTTAGAAAGAAAAGCTGCGATTCTGATGAATTCACCTGACTCCAGGAACTGGGGATTTCAAGCTAGCCTCCCTCTACTGTGCAACTCCCAATACATCCTTAAAAGCTGATGATGGTGCAGTGCTGCTCACCGGCTGGCCAGAAGGAGATGCCCCCGGAGAGATCAGTGTCTTCATTACACTGCGTCCTTCTTTGGGGACAGCCTTTATCTCAAGGTGGATGCGGCCTTTCTGCTCCTGTGCGGGCTCTTGGGGCTGTCCTGCTATCTCTGCTCGATGCTCCTCTTCATGCGAAGCTGGCTGCTGATGTTGTTCCTTTTCTACAGCTTCTGGCTCTGGAGCTGACTCTGGATGTTCATCCACTCTTGGATCCATCTGCTCCTTAGAAAACTCTCTGGCCAGGACCTTCACTTGGGCTGACTGCCGCCATGGTGCTGGCTTTGGGGGACCTGCTTCTGCTTCTGCTTCTGCTTCTGGTTCCTTCTCCTCTTTCACATTTTCTGAGATGCTTGTCACCTGCTGCCTTTGCTGCCTCACCTCCTCTGTCTTCGGCCCCTCTGAAACCTTCTGCTCATCTTCCTCCGGGGTCGCTGCCGCTGGTGGGTCTGCCTCCTTGGGCCTGGGAGCAGGGAGAAGGCAGAGACACACTCAGACACCAGAGGGCACCAGCAGGCTGATTTTTATACAGGAGCTTACTTTAGCCCTAATGGAAAGGTGTCAGATTAACAATCACATTTATCTCCAGGCTAGGCCTGGTCCACCCTGCAAACCCAGACTGACTTTCACACTTGCCCTGTGCTGTATGGACAGTTTTGTCAGGCACAGATTAGGTGTTCGTTTGGGTAAAACCTACTCATCTTTGGCCATAACCCTGATCAGCCTCTGTCCCTTGGTCCTGCCGGGATGGGAGCCAGCCTGTACATGTGTGCGTACAAAACTTGTGCCAGTGGATTCGAATGGAAGTCTATGGGGTTGAGATTCTTGAATCAGCGTGGGGAACTGGGATGTGTCATTTTGATGAGTGTCTAGCTCCCCTGAACTGCTCTCAAAGTCTTGGCCTTTAGCATTATAATACAAACAGTAATTCATTATTTATCAATTTATCATTCCATGGCCTCTTCCAGCCAAGGATCTCCACACGATTTGCACATAACATATTGCTGTCCCGTGTTACACAAGAGAACAAATTGAGCCACAGAAAGGGACAGCAAAATCCCTGGATCAGTAGCAGTTAAAACCCCAAAGCCATGCCCCTTAGCCTCCTGCTCTAATCATGCAATCTCTCCATTGCAGAACCTCAAACTGACCCCAGGTTCCCAGTCCTCTATTCTAACACCTTCCCCTTGGATCAGATCCAAACCCCATTACTGCCAATGGAAAGGCTCACACTGATTCCAGTTAGCTTTGGTCAGGCCCTAGCTAAACAAAAAAATCAGCCATGTGGATGTGCAGCATCCTGGGTAGTGTTGGACCAGGGTCACAGCCTTTCTCTGCCCACCTGTCTGGCACTGGGTGGCTAGCATTTGGTGAAGGGGGGAGGTCCTCTTCCTCCCCTGATATGGAGGGCTTCTGACTTCGGAGCCTTCGCCGGCGCTCTCGTTCTAGTTCCTCTTCATCTTCCAGAGTCCTCTGCCTCGCCAGGCTGTTTGGAAGTGAGACAAGAATATTCCAGTTATTGGACCACCGTGGGCATGTCTACACGTGCATTTACGCTGGCTTAAATTTACTGCACACAGTAAGTTACTACACAGTCAACAGGAATAGGCCAGCATCTATATGTGCAGGTGTTAAGGCACATTAATGCTATGTATGAACTGATTTGGGACTAAAGTTAGTCTCAAGTCAGTCCACACACACAGCGTTACTGCGTTACATGTGCGTTACTATGCAGTAACTAATTGGGTGTAAATTTGAGACATGCATGATGCAGGTATCAAATTTATGCTCAAGTCGGCATAAATTGCCATATTTACTGTGCAGTACAGGTGTGCATGTATAGATGCGTGCCCGTACTGTGCAGCAATTTTTGTTACTGCACAGTAAATGCACACATGTAGATGCGCTGAGTATGCACAACATGTGTGTCTCAGACTGCAGAGAGAATCAGACCAGATCCCCACCCCTCCAATCAGGAAGGACTTCTCTCCCCTGGGAGCATCATGCCACTGACCAGGTGCCTAGTACCTATGAGACCCACTCAGACACCTGCTGAGAAACAATGCAACCACAGATCTACTAGGCTAGGGACAGACATTACACTTAAAACAGTTTAAGTGATCAAAAACTGGTTTAATCCTGTAACGGAACAGATGTTTAGTGCACATAAACCAGTTTGAAAATAGCTGAAACTGGTTTGAGATAAACCTGGTTGAATGTAGTATCAGACTTAACTGACTTGGATCCAACTGGTGTCCCAGACCCCTTGCTGGTTTAACTTAAACCAGACTCCCCCAGCATCCTGGCATGCTCCCTGGGCTGGGCATGGCTCTCCGCTCCACAGCAGAGCTGCCTCTTCCCCTCTGCTCCCTGGCTTCAGCTCCGTAGAGACTGCAGGCATCTGCCTGACTTCCCTCTGGTCCTCTGCTAATCAGGGATTTCCCCCCCACCTTACACAGACATCTCTCAGCATTAGCTAGCAGACCTCATGCTGGCTACAGTCCATGCTGTGGCAGATGGGACAGAGGCATAATCAGCAGGTAGCTGGTAATGTCCTTCTGTTTTTTTCCTAATGGGATGATTAACACCGAGTTAAAGATGATAAACACTGTATTATCAATTCCCTGCTGGGCTGGTCAGAAGATGGGGGGACCCCTCCCTGATCAGAACATCGTGCCTCAGCTCAGCACTACGGAAGGCAAGGGAGGACTGCTATAGCACTCCACGCACCCCCCCGGCTTCTAGCCTGAGCCACTGCAGGCATGTGCCTGCATTTCTGGGAAGTCCGTGCAGTTACAAACAGGTTTAACCTAGCCAGGCTAAACTAACCTGCAAAAATTGAATGAATTCAGGCTCAGGCTTTTTGAATGCCTGTGCCTGGCCATGCTGAGGGGAAAGAGGATGGAGAAAAAGGATCAAAAACACCAGAGTTGTTTACACGTGCTTATGAACTCAAATGAGTGCAATGCCAAGTATTCCCTACATTCTGAGTGTTTGACTTGGCCATGTGACCATTTTCTTAATATAGGAAATTACATTTTAAAACATATACTTTTATTTAACCAAAAAGAAGATGCCACGCTTGGGCCATCAGAAGGACCTATAGATCCATCAAACAGATCTCAGCCAGTTAAAGAAGCAGCTAGTAGCTGTGGTAGGTTGCCACTCTCAGTGTGGCTCCACACTGGAGGGAGAGGGGACACTTTGCCAGTGGGTTTCACAACTATTTGCTGAAAGCAGAGCAATGGTGAGACTCAGATTTTGGGTCCATTCCAGGCTCTGGAGAGAGGCAGCTATAGTGGGCAGAGACTTTTATTTGACTCCTTCTATGCATCTTTGCAGCCTGTTTCTCTACCCCATCCCTGTGCCATGTTGGGTTCCTGCTTTCCCATTTCTGTACTCAACAGAGGAAGCCTTGTGAGCAAAGGAGAGAAAAAAAGTCTCTATTCTGAGTTCCTGGAAGCCAGGAGGAGCAATTGCAAGAGTCCAGCTCAGACTCTGGAGTCCCAGGTTGATGCATGCTCAGTTGCTCTGTGAGGATGGAGTAGTCTTTTTGCTGAGAGAATTTCTGGAGAATAATGCTACAGTCACTAACCTCCAAGCATGTGGGAACCATGAATTTTTAGAGACTAAAAACCATGTGGATTTTCACAGGAAGAGTAAACAGCAAACCCTAGACATGGCAGAAACTCCTGCCATCCTCAAAATAAAGGGAAGATTACAGGTTTTTCATGAAAGAGTTGTAAGAGTTTTCCCCATAACCTGTTTTCTCTCATCTCATTCTCAGAAATGGCTGAACTGCTTTTTCTGAAATCTTCAAAAGGAAAAATTCACAGAGGCAGACCCTCGCTATGAAACCATGTGCTACAAATGGCTGAAGTCTGGCAAAGTTATGAGGATCAAATACCCAAGTTTAATGGAAAAAGTCAAGCAAAATTAATGGTAGGCCTCACTAGCTGGTCTACACAGAATTTGAGAAGAATTTCAAAATTCCTTTCCCCTTACATACACAAGTCTTGACAGCCAAAGAAATTTCATTCTGGCTGAAAAACATACTGGTAAAAATTTCCTATTTTAAAACTAAACTATATGGGTTTTTTTCCTATTAAAAATGTTTCACGCTAAAAGGTTTTGTTTTACAGCCAATTTTTTATTTTATTTTATATTTCATTAACTTTGGAATTTTTCCATAAGAACTAATTGGCATTTTTCAACCACCTCTTCCTCCATACATTCCCACTCGGTGGCAAATAATGCCTTAAATAGGTAGAATTTAAAGATTTTTTTTTAAAGATGAGTTGAGATTTCACAACGGACTGTAATTTGTTTTTTTTTCACTACTCAACTCAGGACTTTGCTACACATAAGATATATTGTATCAGTATAAGCTAAAGTTAAATTCAGACTGATGCATTTATACTGACTGTACTTCCCCATCTGCAGGTTACAGGGGTGGGCGGATGAGAATAGGATGGGTTTCAACACTGACAAGTGCCAGGTGCTGCACCTGGGGAAGAAGAGCCAGCACCATACCTACAGGCTGGGGAACTCCCTTCTCGTCGCTGCAGAGGCAGAAAAGGATCTTGGAGTCATCATTGATGCCAAGATGAACATGGGCCGGCAGTGTGGGGAGGCGGCTAGGAAGGCCAACTGCACCTTGTCGTGCATCCACAGATGCATCTCGAGCAAGTCCAAGGAGGTGATCCTCCCCCTCTATGTGGCACTGGTCAGGCTGCAGCTGGAGTACTGCGTCCAGTTCTGGGCGCCACACTTCAGGAGGGATATAGACAGCATGGAGAGGGGCCAGAGGAAGGCCACTCGCATGATCAGGGGGCAGCAGGGCAGGCCCTACGAGGAGAGGCTACGGGACCTGAACCTGTTCAGCCTCCCCAAGAGAAGGCTGAGAGGGGATCTGGTGGCCGTCTACAAGCTGGCCAAGGGGGACCAGCAGGCAATGCGGGAGTCCCTGTTCCCCCAAGCACTATGGGAGTAACAAGGAACAACAGCCATAAGTTGGCTGAGAGTAGATTCAGGCTAGACAGCAGGAGACACTACTTCACAGTCAGGACGGCTAGGAGATGGAACCAATTTCCAAGGGAAGTGGTGCTCGCTTCTACCTTAGGGGTCTTCAAAAGGAGGCTTGATAATCACCTAGCCGAGGTCATTTGACCCCAGCTTCCTTTCCTGCCCAGGGCAGGGGTTTGGACTTGATCTGCTTAGGTCCCTTCCCACCCTACCTACTATGAAACTATGAAACTATGCACATTCTTATTCCAGTATGAGTGGCTTTTTTAGTTTAGCTTAAATACTTCCTAAAGCAACAGTAACTAAACCAAACGGTGGGGGAAGGAAAAAGGGCTAAACAAAATTAAAAAACCCAACCCTACTAACACATTGCACTGATGCTGGAGAAAGGGGTTTTACTGGTAGTAGTGATACTGGTATAACTCATAAATCTGTCCATGGAAGACAAGCTTGCAGACTATCAACACCCACTTGCCAGAGTCAAATTTTTGCTGATAGCAAGTTTCCCCATTTGGAGAGGAGCTCAAATTTAATTGGATAGGCCACATCTTGACTCACTGGGAGAGGCACACACCACCTCACCTCCCATTCATAATTATTTGTAACTTCCGCAGAGATGTTGAACGTTGCTTATTTCTCATGTGGGAAATTGATATTGGAGAAGTCAGAGAATCTTTTTCGCTGTTTAATGCAGTGGAGCTGCTGAAACACCAGCCAGCTCTCCCCAAACCACTAGCAAGCATTTCTCAGTCCAACAGCTGGAAAACCCCCGGCTCTCCAAGTTCTTGTTCATGTTGAAACAAAAGAAAGTTTGGGACTGTAACATACTTTCTGGGGAATACACATCCATTTTCTTAAGCATTTACACAGGGATATTAAGAACAGTAAAACCTGGGGAACTATTGTGGGACTGTTAATTGCACAGAAGCTTGGGGTCTGAAACTGCATGGCCTGAAATCAGAGCAGGCCTGATTCTGGGATGAAAAGGACCAGAATCAGGTCTAGGTCAGCATTTGTGCCACTGCAACCCCCGTGACTGGCAGCTGTGGCATTGTGGGTTAATGATTACCATGCAATGAAATCCCTGGCACAAGTTAAACCAAGTTCCCTCCTCCACTGAGTCTTGCTTTCTAGTCTTCTCAATCTGCAACGTTGAAGGCGGGAGTGAAAGGGTAAGAAGAAAAGCAGAAACAGAGAAGAGGTAAAGTTTAAGCAAATACAGATCTTGGCCAAGAAGCTTTTCAGACCTCACAGTCTAGTTAGGACACTAGCCACCTTCCCTTGGAGAAGAGGCAGAGGCATTGCAGCAGGGTGCACCAGTGTCACCAGTGACTCACAGCCCTTTCCCTGGGGTTGTTTTGTAGCAGGCAAGGAGACTGTCCCACCCTCTGTTACAATGACCTGATTCAGTAAGAAACAGCATTCATTCTAGCACCATGGTGACTGAACTTCCCTAAGGCA